CAACTTTGAGAAGAGCTCCAACACAAGCCACTGACTGTGTGCCAAGTTCCAGGTTCATTCTCCTCAAGTCGACTCATTTGGTTCTCCTAAGTCCCCTTCACTGTAGTCACTCTACAGAGGGGGAAACTGAGACTCAGGGTCTGTGAGACTTCCCAGGCCCCAGGGTAGTGACTGATGGGGCCAGAATCTGACTCTTCCTGTGTCCAGGACACCTGGTCTCCTGCTGCCCCAAGGCCCAGGGTGTCCAGGACTTAAGCCCTGTACAGTCCAACACATCTTACAGGGTGGCCAGCAGCCACATGTGCCCTTTGATTTACTGTGATTTGATCTGAATTCATTTACATCTAAATTCAAAAACGGATTCTCCATTCAATCACTGGACAATCAAAGCCTTGAATCCACTTTTTCAGCTCTGGACTTTGAGATCTAAATACAGAGCACGTATTTCCAATGAAAATTTAGCATCCAAATGGAGAGGTGCTGGAGATCCAAAGTAGACATCGATCTCAGAGACTTCGTACAAACCAAAGCCATGAAAAGGAGCTCTTTTTTTAATTTCTGATACTGAGTTGATGTTAAAATGATAGCATTTTTGGATGTCCCGGGTTAAATAAAATAGGACTACTGAATCTCACTTCTTTTCTTTCTTACTTTTTTTGAAGTGTGGCACCTGGAAAATTTGCAATAACATTTGTGGCCCACATGATATTTATTTTGGATGGCAAAGCTCTGACCCTCAGGTGTGGAATCTAGGTGTAGTGCTCAGGTGTGCAGGTTGGTGTCCAGGTGTAGTACCCAGGTATGGTACTAAGGTGTGGTACCCAGGTGTGGTACTCAGGTCTGGTGCCCAGGTGTGGTATCCAAGTGTAGTAGTCAGATGTGGCATCCAAGTGTGGAACACAGGTGTGGCACTTAGATGTGGTATCTAAGTGTGGTACCTAGGTGTGGTGCCCAGGTGTGGTACCCAAGTGTGGTACCCAGGTGTGGTATCCAGGTGTGGTACCTAGGTGTGGTGCCCAGGTGTGGTGCCCAGGTGTGGTGCCCAGGTGTGGTACCCAGGTGTGGCACTCAGGTGTGGTACTTTGGTGTGAACTTTTCTGGAACTATGATGGTCTGTGAGGTCAGCAGGGTCACACCTGGGCTGGGAACAGCTTCTGGGATCCCTGGCCTGGCTCTTTCTTCCTTCATTTCTGAAGAGCATGCCCCTTTAACCAGTGGCTGACACGTCCTTTGGGGAGATGAGACAGAGGAGAGGGCTGTGGAAGGGAGAGCAGGGAGGGGTGAGGCGAAATAGCAGAGCAGGTGGAGTAGGAGGTGGGGGAAGTGGCAGTAAAACCTCATAAACTGCCAGGCAGGCTGGAGGGTTGTGAAAGTGAAGGAAACAAGGTTTTGAAATGCAGTCACTTGTGGGAGGAGAGATGAGCTAAAAACCAACGGACTCTACTCCAATCATATAAGTCGCCAGGTGAGGCAAGGAGGTAGGGGTGGTGCCTGGAGAGGCAGACCCGTGAGGGAGGCTCAGGCAGGCAGAGGGGCCAGACAGGAGTCCTCCCTGGGGCTGGCTGAAGGGTTGCAGGGGTTGGGGTTGAGCAGAAAGAATGACTCTACAGTGGGCAGGTGAGTAGATGGGCTCAATGCCCGTGGGTCTTCAGCCTTGGGTCTGTCCAGGGTCAACTGCGTCACCTGGAAGATGTCTGGTTTGACTCCATCCCTTTGACATCCTATCTTGCCCATGACTAGAGTCCTTTGGTGGCGTGGTTACTAGTGGCTGACCCCTGGTGCTTCGTGTACAGAACTAGGTAGTACCGTCCAGTCCTATATCAGTTCCATGATTGTTGGAATGTTGGAACCCTTGTATGAGTCTACTTCATGCAGCTTTCCCTTTCCTGCTTTAGACTCCAGCTATTCTGATGAAATGATGGGAGAGGGCATTGCTTTTGGATAATCAAATCCCCTTTTCCTAAAGAGACAGCAGCTCCTGGTCATGGGTCAGGACCAAGGCTGCAGGGGTCAGACTGGGACCCTCGTCCAGCTAACGTCAGTGGGTTCTCCCTGCAGTCAGCAGAACGAAGCATCCTCCTAGGCCAACTGGAAATAGGGTTGGGGGAGAAAGTCAACTCAAGGGAGATGGGGAGAACCAGGGATAAGGATGGTAGGGGTTGGGATATTCTAGGCTCGCAAGCTCTGGCAGACAGAGTGAGGCTCTGAGGACAGACAGACACATCTTGCTGTTGGTGGGAGCACGTCTGTGCCACCAAAGGTGATGAATGTAACTTGCTTTGGAGTGGGAACTGTGCAGATGTGGGAGGACGTGCTCATCTGCAGAGTCTACCTTGTGGTTGCTCTGCCGCTGTGGGCAGCTCGGCCTGTTGCCTGAGGGCTGCCACAGCCACTTCTACTAACCCAGAGATGAGACAGAAAGATCTAATGTCCCCAGCATCTCTGGATGACAGCAGATCTGAATCCTGGTGGGATCAGTCCTGCTGGATCGACATCTCTTGGTCAAAGAATACCCTGCCCTCTGTGCTCCGCGGAGTTAAGAGCTGGCATGAGCCCTCTCTTTCAGGAAGCTGGGAGGGGGGGTCTCTGAGGATGGGCAGCTGCTGCTGTGTGCCGTGGAGTTGGTTCTGACCCATAGGGTTTCTGAGGATGTTAATCTTTCTGGGAACAGAAAGCCTCATTTACCTTATGTGGAGTGACTGGTAGAATGAATTGCTCATCTTGAGGTTAGCAGTCCAACGCATAACCCATTATGCTACCAAGGATAGGCAGAGGGGTGCTTTGGGACTCTAGTCTGGGCTGTGCCCCCATCAGTTAGGACAGGCCTGGCTTTCAGGAAAAATAACACTGTGTGCCAGTTAGGAGTCTCCTAGTGGCACAAACGGTTGGCTAAATGCTCTGCTGCTATTGGAAAGGTAGGCAGTTCAAATCTGTTCAGAGGTATCAAGGAAGAAAGATCTGGCAATCTGTGACTGAAAGGTCACAATCTTGAAACCCCTGAGGAGCACAGTTCTACGCTGCACACAATGAGCCGGAACAGACTTGGCAACAATTATGCTGTGGACACGTGTGTGTGTCACCTGAATCAGTGCAGTTGGTATAGTTTCTTACACACGAGCTTCCTGCCTCCTGGGGTGCTGGCCCCATTACCCCATGCACTCCTGTGGTCACACCTACACACCTGAATGCTCTATCCTCCACCTCCATCTGGTTTCCAGTGGCCCCACTCACAAATCCAAGGCCTCAAATCATTGCAGGACTTGGTGCCCAGTTCTCAGCCCCCTGGCCCTGCCCTTCCACCCACCACCTGCCTACTTCCAGACCACTTTCCTCCTCAGGCACCTCCTTTTGCCACCCCGCAGCCCCACCCTACCAGTCCATCTTCCCAACAATGCCCTGGAGCACAGTTCCAGAATTTAATGACCCAATCCTCCAGGTCTAGGCGAGCTCACTTACTCTCCACGGCAAGAGTGACGGGCTGACTGGTCTTGTTATCCCCATTCTTGTCATTAACAGCCTGCACGTAGTAGCGACCTGCATCGGGAGCCACAGTGGATAGGATGACAAGGGTGTTCTCCAGCGTAATGGCTCTGGAAGAGAGGACAAAGGACTTTTGACAGGGTTGGAGGAGGGGGTGGTCTGAGGATGGCAGAGAGCAGAGGATGTAGCAGGGGGCCTGGCTGAATCTCCCCATCCCTGCTGGAGAGCTAGGGGGCTACATCTCAGAGCCTCTCTGAGCCCACCTTTCCAAGCCGTTTACTTTCAATCTGTGGCTTGCGGCCCCAACATGGTTGGCTTGCAGAGATGGTCTGGTCCCCAGTGTGGCAACCTTAGGGTGATGGCATGTAGACACTGGGACCCATGCACATGAAGCTTCCCTACCCCTCCTCACAAGACTGGGCTCCCAGCCTTTCCTGGGAAAACCACAGAATCTTCTCCATGTCTTTCTCCATGTTATAATATCTATCCATCGAGTGTCCAGAGACTGGAGAAATGCTTGTGGAATGAAAGAATGACAGAGACATGAATGAACAGGCAACGAGAATGAATTTAGAAATGAGCAGGACCGTTCCAAAATCAGTGCCTTAAACTCTAATGCTGAGTCCACTAATGAAGCACCGCTGGTTCGGTGGCAGAGTCTTTGCCTTCCATGCAGGAGACCTGGGCTCAATCTCCAGCCAGAGTTCTTCATGTGCAGCCCCCACCATCTGGCAGTGGAGGCTTTACTGTCCTTAAGATGAGGACCAGGTTTCAGCAGAGTTTCCAGACTAAGAGTAGGAAGAAAGGCCTGGCGATCTACTTGAAAACCAACCCATGAAAACCGTATGGATCACAGTAGTCCGACGGTCACCACACATGGAATGACACAGGACTGGGCAGTGCTTTATTCTTTGGTGCAGGGGGTTGTCATGAATCAGGGACCAGCTCGGTGGCAGCCAGCAGCATCAACAAAATATGTTGAGGTTGATTCCAAGGCCACCTGTAATGTAGACTTCTGGGGCTCACACGTCCCTCCAGTTTACACCCCGCTGAAGCTAGCCAACAAGAATGAGATCAGCAGGCTGGTTAGGATAGAAAATTTGGGAGGCTGTCTGTTTGCCACAAATTGGACTCCCTGAGCTGAAATCCCATCACGCAGACTAGATCCCCAGGGATCCCGGAGGGCTTGTCCACACTGAAAGTGGCCCCCCATTAACCAGTGCTGCCCACATTGGCTTTGCCCATTTCCTCCTCTCGCCGATTCTTCCAATGACAAACAAAGCCATTAGTTTGTCAAGTCTGTCTCCGATTTTAATGTGACGTGCCCAAGACAGCTGTTAAACATCCTTAATGTTAGTTTAACAAGGACAAATCCAGTTGAATTCTTTTCAAATTTTCCCATTAGGTGAATGTTATCGTTTTAAACAGCCTCTCAAATAAACATCTCACTAATGCCTTCTCCAGCCCAGCTCTCTCCCTGCTAGGATATTCAGGATTTTTCCCCTCTGCTAGTTTTGGTCTTGCATGTGTTGCGACTTGTTCTATCCCCAGGATCTGGGAAGGTGGGAAGGGTGGATGCAGTAGATTCTTGAGCACCTTAATGATTCCCAAGATGTTTCCAGAAGGCTCTTTTAACCCTCATGATGGCATAGCAGTTAAGCACTAGGCTGCTAACTGAAAGACCGGAAGTTCAAACCTTCTTAGCTGCTCCTTCGGAAACAGATGTGGCAGTCTGTTTTCACAAAGATTTAGAGCCTTGGAAACCCTATGGGTCAGTTCTACTTTATCCTACACTGTGGGTTAGAATTGAGGGCAGTGGGTTTTTAATGAGATGGTGCGTGTATAACCCCAAGGTGGGGGGTTTAGTCCACCCACCCAGAATGTCCCAGGAGTGTTTCAACTATTGGAAACCCCATGGAGCCAAGTTCTATTCTGACATACATGGGGTTGCCATGAGTTGGAACTGATTTGTTTGGTTCAAAACCAAATGGTAACTGGTTTGGTTTTTGTTAATAAGATGATGGAGGTGGGACCAGAGCTGGGTGACAATACTGTAAAAGCGTCAGCGAGGGTGACCTTTTCGCCACCTACAAGCCCCCTCATGTGGTGAGCGAGGGTTGGGGGAAGGGAGGCCTGTGTCCCCCATGTCTGTGCTGTGCACTGGCTGGGGACAGGGCTAAATTCTGGAAGGATGTCTAGCTCCGGCCCAAGCTGCTTAGGAGCACACGGCCTTACTTCATGGGCCTCCCCTGTGCTAGGGGTGGCCCAGCCCAAGAGCCAAGGGCTCTATGATTCCCTTCCGGCCATTTGCTCTGAGGCAGCCCTGTCCCTCATACAGGCCCTTAACTGGACACAATCAAATGTCAGGGCTGAGAGCAATCGGCCACCAACCGTCCTGATGGTAGCCACGCTGGGAGGGGTGTCAGCCTCTGTGTTCCCAGTCATTCTCAATGCCATGGTGACTGCAGGAGTGTGTCTAAGGAAGACCACTATGGGCCCGCCTGGGCACAACCTGGCCTCCTCAGGGTTACCTGCCTGACCACAGGCTGAGTGTAAGCTTATCTCATGCCCCAACTTCTCTCCTGGACCAAAAGGGTCCCAACACACGCTCTCCAGACCACTCTGTTTATAGTAGGATCCACCCTTTCAGGTCCGGGCTCTCACATGGGTCATTTCTGGAGACATTTTTGGTTGTCACAATTGAAGGCAGGTGCTTCGGGCATCTAGTGGGTGGGGGCCAGGGATGCTGCTCAACCTCCTATGGCGCACAGGGGCCACCCCAAGGGCACGAGAAATGCTGACCCTGATAGGATGGCCAGTTTCACACTGTCTGTTGCTGTTTCTTTTGGGATGTGGCCACCCCCACTTTGCATCCAGAGCTGAGGGGGTGTAGAGTGACTGAGCAAATGGAAACGGGGTGGGGGCTGGGACATGCACCAGCCCCAGGCGGGGACCATAACCCCCACACAACCTCTGTGCTCTCTCCCCCTGCATGTCAGAGGATGGCAGAGCTCCCTGCTGACTGCGGGGGAGAGAGAGCACATCCCTCTGGGAGGACTTTAAATGAACAAGAAATAAACGAGCAGGAGATAAACCCCAGCCAGATACTGAGATTTGGGCTTTTATGTACAATGGTGAAACCCTCAGCTGCCAACTGAAAGGTTGGCTGTTTGAAGTTACCCAGTGTCTCTGCAGCAGAAAGACCTGGTGGTGGCCTGTGTTCCGTAAAGATTTCAGCTTAGAAAACCCTATGGGGTCCTGTGGGGTTTCGGTGACTCAAAACTAGGCTTGATGACACCTAACAACAACAACCATAGCATTTGCTATTGCTGAAGCCATGGTGGTTCAGGGGCAGAATTCTCACCTCCCATGCAGAGATCCAGGTTCAATTCCCAGCCAATGCACCTCAGGTGCAGCCCCTACCTACCCAGTCATCAGAGAAGGCATGTGTGTTTCTAGGATGCTGAACAGGTTTCAGAAGAGTTTCTAGACTAAAAGAGACAAGAAAGAAAGGTCTGGCAATCTACTTCCAAAAGTCAATGAAAACCCTGTGGATCTGCAACGGAGCATGGGACTGACTCAGTGTTTGTTTTGTTGTGTACAGGGTTGTCATAACAACCACACATAGCATCTGTAATTGCAGCTGACGTTGCCCTAACTAGTCCCCGGAAGAACACACACTAGATTTGGGCCGACAGGGCAGAGACTGGGATGAGTCTTTTCTCTGAAGATGGCGCTATGACTTCTGGGAAGGTTCCTGGGCTTCCGGCCTTTCTGCAGGCCGACCAACCCAACACTTCATCCCCACAGTGTCCTCAGGTGGGCTTCCGGCTAGCTCCACCCAAAAGTAGCCGCAACGAAAGGCTGTGCTGGAAGAAGCCTTGGGTCCTGGGCAGCAGGGCCCAACCATACTCAACGCAGAGTGGCCAAGTGATGTTTTCAGTCATCCCTCCCCGCTCCCCAGGTCTACTTGACCAGGGCCTTTGTTACTGCTTTACTGGCTCAGCTCCCACCTCGCTGCCCAACCACTGCTCCTACTTTAGCTCTATGCAGTCTTGGTGTGGCACTGTAGGATAAACACTGGACTATTAACTACAAGGTCAGTGATCAAACCCACCAGCCGCTCCTTGGAAACCCTCTACAAGGTCTCTGGGAGTGGAATCAACTAGAAGGCACTTTACAACAATGGACACCCAGTGGAAACTTAATTAGGAATAAAGTAACTCATCCTAGAATCTGCCCAAAGGTCCCAGCATGTGTCTTTGTTAGGAGACCTGTCTCTTTTCAATAAGCGGCCGGGATGGGAGGTGTTGCTGACTCCCCAGCAGAGCGCATCCCTGTGTAACTAGCAGGGTCTTCAGCGTCCCTGCATCCCTCCCTCAGAGAGCAATCATCAGATATGTATCCCTGATGCATGGATACCAGAGAACCTACTTCTGGGGACCCCTTTCTCTGGAGATTAATCAGCTGTCATTGCTGAGATAAGACCACCACAGTGGTCCACCACGTATTCGGCAGGAATGTTGGCCGTGTGACCATGGAGATGGTTGTGTGCCCCAGGATTGCTGTATCTTGGTACCAAAGGGTATTGGGAGTGAATAAGGGGGCAGAGAGAGAGGCCAGGGATGGCAAAGAGTTGGGGAGAGCTATTAGGAGAGGGATCATAGTAGTGAGGTGGGGGAATCGGTTTCATCCTGGTGTGGCACTATAGGATGAGCACTGGAGTGGTAACTGGTAACTACAAGGTCAGCAGTTCAAACCTACCAGCTGCTCTTTGGAAACCCTATACAGGGTTGCTGAGTTGGAATCAACTTGACACTGCTTATAGAAAATGAGGGCTGACATGCTCCTTCCTGCTGCCATGGCAGACATTACTAATTGATTACATGCTCTTAAAATCCTTCTCTTGGCAGTCACCACCAATCGACTGGCTTGCAGGATGTTGTCCTTGAGGCCACTCAGGCCATGTAAGATAGCCTCAGAAAGGAGTGTTAGGATGGGGCTGGACTCCTGTCCTTGTAAGCACACCTCTCAGATCCATGTTGACTATCAGCCACACTCCTCTGGCTTCACCTCCGTTAGGCCTAACGGGCCTGTTCTGACCCACACGGCACCCCTGAACCTGGTCACTGGGGTTCTACCCCAATTCTTCACCCTGCTCTGGAGTCATATCCTTTGCAAAGTCTTTTTCTCTGACTTGAGTTGAATTTGGCCATAGGACTTGGTTTGGCCAATGGGATGCTCCCAGAAGCTTGAAATATGAATTTTTCCTGATTCTCTCTTAGACCTTTGCTATGATCAGAACAAGCTGGGGCTGTATTGCTGGAGGACAAGATACATGGAGCACAGTGGAGTCGGCCTAGTCCTTCCAGATGAGCCAACAGACAGCCAACCTCAGACAAGTGAGACACTCCAGCCAAGGTCAGAAGAACCACCCAGGCCAAGTCTCCAAGCTGTGGGCTCCTGAGGAGGACAAATGCTATTGAGTCCAGGCATTGGGATAATGTGATGTAGTATTATTGTCGCTATTGGGAACGGATATACACTAGGACAGGGCTGGTTAACCCTGATGTTCAGACCATAGCCCATTTCAATGAAATAAGCATGTCTGAAGGTTATGTCTTACGTTAAAACAGTTTATTTTAAAGCCCCCTGGATGATTTCAACAGGTATACAGGTTGAGACTCTCTGTATCAGAACTAAAAACAACAACAATAACAAACAAACCCATGTGTACCAGAGTAGAACTGAGCTCCTAACGGTTCCAGAGCTGGTCATCATCTTTCAGAAGTGAATTGCCAGGCTTTTCTTCAAGGTGTCTTTGGGTGAACTTGACCCTCCAGACGTTCAGTTAGCAGTTCAGCATATTAACCGTTTGTACCACACAGGGGAGCCTTACCAAAATGCATTCTCCACAAATGCAATAACTTCATCCTGCCTTTGACGCCATCCCGTGTGTCTACATAAGACAGGATGAAGACTCTGGACCTAGGGAGGGAGAGGGGCTATGTGCTGATGGCCGGGGGGCAGGCTTGTGGGGTGTACCCTTTGGTTGTTTGATGATGCATGAAGGGGACTGTAATCATTGCAATGAAATGAAATATGATAGGATGAATGTAAAGCTTATGGTCTCCCATGTAAACTATCACACAATTCACACACACACACACAAAGACAGGATGAAGAATCCTGATTCCATTGTGGGCAAATCCAGAAGCAGCTCCACCTCTTACCAGCTGTATGAGATTTGGCAACGTTGTTTGAACTTTTGGGAGCTTTGCTTTCCCATCTGTGCAATGGGTATACAATAAGCTGCCTCGTACGGTGGTTGTGAGACCAGCCACTTGGCAAGTATCTTTGAGCATGTGCTCAGGGAGAGAGAAGAGGATGAACTGGGAGTGTCTTCTGATTCTGGGAGAGAGGGAAGCAGGTACCGTGTGTCCAGTACCATCCCGAAAACACAGGGGACACTCAGTGACAGCCAGTAACTGCTGGAAGACTATTGCCATGTTAGGGTTCATACACATCTCTCACTCGATTGGAGGTCCCCCAACCGCCAGGACGGTCCACCTTGTCCTCTGCTTTTTATAGCGCCCATGTTCCGCCTTGCTCCACAGGGCGTATGAGTAGACTAGCAGAAAGGTGTTCTTTCTTACTCATATTTTCTGGGGGTCGGTGAAAATTTGTCCTTGGGTGATACAAATGGTTAACTCACTCCACTGCTAATGGGAAGGTTAAAGGTTTGAGTCTACCCAGAGCACCTCAGAAGAAAAGCCAGGAAGACTCTCGGGAGCACAGATCTACTCGGGCACCCTCAGAGCTGCCATGAGCTGGTCGTCACTCCATGACAACAGGGAGATGAGAGTTGGAACAAGAAGAGGAAAGCCTAAGGGAGGACTGGGTGTATTCTGGAAGAAAATTCTTTGCTCTGAGTTCTTGATGGAAGGGTTGGGTGTTGGCTTATCCTCCTGCCCACAGCTACCTCCAGGGGCACACACAGAGGATTCTTGTCAAGACAGAAAGGGCTGTGTGTTTCCTCAGCCCCAGCTCTCCCAGTCACTCCTCCACCTTTCTGCCAAGATACACACCCGGGGACACCCAGTCACACCCACACAACGGAAACACTGAGCCCCCCGCAGCCCTCCCGAGTTGGGAGACGCCAGCCAGCGTCCTCCAACACTGCGCTGGCCAGAGTCCTGGACCTGTTGTCATGGTGAAGACCTCAGTTTGTGTCTGTGTTTTTTGTAAGCTCTGGAAGGTAGACAACACCCGGGATGGGGAGGAGGGCAAGAAGGGGACTGACGTTTCCAGAAAGCCCTTCTCCCCCTGGTAAACCAAACTCCCTGTACTCCTGGAAGGTCCCCAGAAAAGCTGGAAGGGTCTTCCACCTGGCCCCAGAAGTCCTCCCCAAGGTGTGACAGCCCCATCCCCATCCTTGTAGAGACTCACATTCGGCTGCTGGGTGGGATCTTGCGGCCATCCCGGAACCAGGTCACCTGAGGCTGGGGGAAGCTGGCGATGCGCGGGGCGCGGATGACAGCTGCTTCTCCATGGGAGACACTTTGACGCTTCTCGCTCTCCTCAAAGCTCCCCATGTCTGCAGGAGGAGACGGAGCAGGGATCAGGCTGGGGTCAGCTTCAGGCAACAGCAGGGAAACTGGGGGGGGGGGGCACACAGGATGCTATGGAAAGGGGAGCTTTGGAGTTGGGCACTCCTCCACCAGGACATGCCCACACTGGGGTCACCACATCCCAAGCATGCATTATCCTGCCACCTACTCTCTAACCCATTACCAGGATGAGCCCTGGTTGTGCTTTTGGCTTAAAAAAATTCTTCTGTTGTTGTTGAAAGATCTACACACCAGGATTTACACCAATCCAACAATAACCACATGTATAATTCAGTGACATGATTGTTTTTGCATTGTGCAATCTTTTTCAAAAGTATTCTTCCCATCAACTTAAATTCACTGCCTCCTAAACATCCATCCTGTGCTTTTGGCTTCATTGTCTCAGTGGATTCATTGAAAAACCGTCATGATTTCGCCACCAAAAAACGGTTCCCATGGGCTCAGAGAGGCTAATGCACTTGTCCAAGGTCACACAGCTAGGAAGGGGCAGAGAGACAGACTATGAACTCAGAATGAAGTCAGGTGGAGTAGCTGCCCCTCTCTGGCCGTATGATACTGCAGGTCTTGGACCAGATTCCTGTGTCCTTGGGAGAAGGGAAGAGTGGGAAGGGGAGCAACCACAGGACCCAAGATTCAGTGATATTCATAATCAGATACGGGGACAGATGATGATCCTCCTGATGCCTTGGGAGTGTGTGAAGTTGTGCGTATGTGTGATTATAAACACCGTACTGCTCTTTTTAAAACAAGCCTACACACCTGGTAGATAAAGAGGGGAACCATTTCTTCAGGTGCTGATGATCTGTCAATCATAAAGGAAGCAGAGATTAGGAAGTTTCAGGATGTCCACATACCCACTGAACAATAGCAGTGGTGTGAGGTAGGGTGTTGGGAAGGGCCACTTGTGCTGACCACCACCTTGAAATTTAACCTACATCTTTATTATTCAAGAGTTCCTGGGTGGTGCAAATGGTTAGCATACTCAGATACTAGTCAAAAGGTTGGAGGTTCAAGTCTAATGGGAGATGTGCATAAGAAGAAAGGCCTGGTGATCATTCTGAAAAAGCAGGCATTAAAAAACGGTGGCTCACAGTTCTACTCTGACACATGTGGGGGCACCAAGAAGCAGAATCAACTCAAAGGCAACCTTTGAATAGCAAAGGTTTTTGCTATTCAAAGAGCGGTCACTGGACCTGCATGGGAGCCTACCAGGCGCCTGATAGAATTTCAGACCCCCGCTGAATCGAAACCTGTACTTTAACAAAGACCCCCTTAAGATGGGGCTCCAGAAAAAAGAGTGAGAAGCATCGTTTGTCCTGAAACTGAGCTGCGTGTCAGAAACACCCACAGAGTGAACAAACGCAGATGCTGGGACCCACCCCAATGAGGACTCTGTTTCACTGGTATGGTGTGGGCTGGCCATCAACATTCCTACCCCAGACAACAGGCCTGAATCCCTTCCCCCCCCCGCCCGTTATGGTTGGCACTGTGTCCCAATCCCTGGTCCTGATGACCCAAGACCTTGTTTAGAAACAGGGCCGATGAAGATGTTGTTTTTAGGGTCACATAAAGTTATATTGGAATCTGGAAGGTCTGAACCCCATCTGATTGATGTTCTTAGAAAACAGGAAAAGAGACAGAGAGGAAGGGGCCTCCTGCACCTACAAGCCAAGAGATGCTTGGGGGCTACCAGAAACTGAGAGGGACTGAGGAAGACCTTCCTCTGGAGCTGACAGGGAGGGTGCATGGCCCAGCTGATCGGGACTTCTGGTTTCCAGAAGAAGGAGAAAACACAGGCATACCGTATCTGACTGCACTTTGCAAACAGAGTGCTTTTCACAAATGGAAGGTTTGTGGCAATCCTGGACCACACCAGCAAGTCTACTGGTGGCATTTTTTCCAACTTCGCATTTCTGTCATTTTAGTTGTTCTACCAATATGTCAAGCTTGTTTATAATGCTGGTGTCCACCTAACAGACTACAGTATAGTACAAACATCACTCTTACACACACTGAGAAACAGAAAAATTCAGATGACTTGCTTTATTGCAATAGTATGGTTGTCTGAAGCCAAACCCATAATACCTTCGAGAAAGTGCAGTTCTACAAAGCACCCCCTTTTGGTACTTTGTTACATCGGCTCTAGGAAATGAAGCTCTCCCTAATCACGATGGTCACGTCCCTGTCGTTTCTCAGCGCCTCTTTCTTCTCTCCCTCACCAAGCTGCACCTTAGGGTCCTGAGGAACTTTTCATATTCCTAGAGGTAAGACTCTCTGAGGAGGGAGGTGTGGGACCCAGACATTGTGTTTGTCAAGCTGCTCAGGTAGTCCCATGAATCCCTGGGTGGTACAGACAGTTAAGCTGAATGGGTTGTAGTTAGGGTAATGAGGGCTGGGGGCCATCTCTAAATTGTTGTTGTTGTTAGGTGCCATAGAGTTGATAAGGACTCATAGCAGCAGCAGAAGGAAACACTGCCTGGTCCTGTGCCAACCTCACAATCGTTGCTACACTTAGTTGAGTCCATTGCTGCTGCCATGGTGCCAAGCCATCTCATTGGCGCTCTTCCTCTTTTTCTCCGATGCTCCACTTTACCAAACATGGTATCCTTCTTCAGGGACTGGTCCCTCTTGACAATATGTCTGAAGTGGAGGGACGAAGTCTCACCATCCTGGCTTCGAAAGAGCACTCTGGCTGTACTTCTTCTAGCACAGACTGGTTCTTCTAACCCCCAATTTGAGTTTCTACAGACAATCTCAATAGTGTGGCCTCTGACACACACACAAGTTGTGCCTTGGAGTGTCATTGTCATTCTGCACCTGGCCTGGGCCCCTTAGACTTGCACCAGGGGACAATTGCAGCTTCTACCTCCCTGGTATGGCGTTGTAGCATAAGTAAGGTCAGTTTGAACTACAAGGTCTGCAGTTCAACTCAACAGCTGCTCCTTGGAAACTGCACACAGGGTTGCTGTGAGTTGGAACCAACTCGATGGCACCTGACAACAACACAACCTCCCTTCCTTACACCTGTGTGTCTACCGTGTTTGGTTGTCATTGTAATGTGCCGTGGAGTCAGTTCCATGTTACAGCGACCCTGTATAGGGCTTCTGAGGTTGTAAATCTTTACGGGAGCAGAAAGCTTCATCTTTCTCCGGCAGAACAGCTGGTAGTTTCGAACTGCTGACCTTAAGGTTCGCAGCCCGATTCATAACCACTATGCTAGCAGAGCTCCTACCGTGTTTGGGTGATGCAAAACTTCTCAGTAGCACCTAGGGCAGAAAAAAGCCCTGAGTCTGGGTTTCTGACTCACTCTCCTGGGAGTCTGCTATGCACCCAAGTCTGAGGACGGTCAGCCTACCTTCTCCTTTGTCCAAGCCCCGGACTTAGTTCTCCTTTGGACCACACTGTACTATTGATGGCCTCAATTGATCTGAAATCCAGACAAGGCTTTCTCTGAAAATGACCCTCATGTCTGTTTGGGCTCTTCCTGAGCTCCAGAACCCAGTTTCCAACCATCTGTTGAGTATTTCTGCCCCTTACTCTCCTCTTGGCCAAGGCCTCCTTCTTGTCTTCTCTCTGTAAACAGACATCCCCACCCTACCTTGTTTCAACCACCTAGGCTCAAATCTTGGAGTCTTAAAGTCTGGGCTGTGTGGTTCGTCCCTTTCCTGCTCCCACAAAGTCCTTCAACATTTCCTCTGGACTATCACTCTCATTTCCCAAGGAACCTCTGACCCTGCAGGCTACCTCCCAGCAAGGCTACTTTGACTTTTATATCCGGATCACCCATCTTGCGTGTTCCGTCCTCATTATTCTGTTTCCAGTGCCGTCTCGATGCCTCAGAAATATTCGGACCCCCTTGCTAGGATTCCAGGTCCTTTTAACTGGATCCATCTCCCTTTCTTTCTGGTTCCTACATCATGCTGCACTTCCTGCTCCCTTGCACGGCTTAAATCTCAGTTCCTGCCCCAGAGACATGCCTGGCCCCTTGCTGGAAGGCAACCAGAACATACCATGATTCACCAACATCCTAGAGAGATAGAAAACCTGTCTTTGATATCTTTGCTATAAATCTGGCAGGTATTATGTGCAAAGGCTAAACAAAAAACAAAACCCCCAAACTCCAAACCCACTGCCAATAAGTAGATTCCAACTCATTGCAGCTGCACCATAAAGTGTCTGAGGATGTAGATCTAAACAGAAGCAGGTTGTAAACCATTACAGAAACAAGCTGCTTCATTTTCCTCCCACGAAGCAGCTGGTGGGTTTGAACCACCAACCTTTTAGTTAGCAGACCACTAGAACTTTGTGTGTGATGGTTATTGTTGTTGTTAGGTGTCGTCGAGTTGGTTCTGAATCATAGCAACCTTGCCCACACTGTGCCATACTCACAATTGTTGCTACGCTTGAGCCCACTGCTGCTGCCACTTTGCCAATCCATCTTGTTGGGGGTCTTCCTCTTTTTTTGCTGACCTTCCACTTTACCAAGCATGATGTCCTTCTCCAGGGACTGGTGCCTCCTGATAATATGTCAGAAGTGTAAGAGACAAAGTCTTGCCATCCAGGCTTCTAAGGAGCACTCTGGCTGTACTTCTTCAAACACAGATTTGTTTGTTCTTCTGGCATTCCATGGTGCTTTTAATATTCTTCCCCAACATAATAACTCAAATGAATCAATTCTTCTGCAGTCTTCCTTATTCATTGTCTAACTTTCAAATGCATATATGGTTATTGAAAATACCATGGCTTGGGTCAGGCGCACCTTAATCCTTGAACGGGCATCTTTGCTCTTCCACACTTTAAAGAGGTCATGTGCAGCAGATTTGCTTAGTGCAATACACCATTTGATTTCTTGACTGCTGCTTCCATGAGTGTTGAGGGTGGATCCAAACAAAAGCAAGTCTTTGATAGCTTTAATCCTTTCTCCATTGATATGGATGCTATTTATTGGTCTAGTGGTGAGGATTTT